TATCTTATCTACCTTTTTTTCTGTCTTCTTAATTCTATCCCTTTTTCTGTTATTAGTGTTAAGTTCGTGTTTAAGGTTAGTTTTAAGGTTCCGGGTTATATTGTTGCGATCGGGATCTGTATTGTACACGTGCTTTGGATACAGCGAACTAATATTATCGTTGTAATTTCGCATGCTACTGTTTGTACCGTGAAGTTGGAATTCCCCGAAATAGAATCTTTATAAAGACGCGAAATAGCTTAATTGGAAAATTATATCAGCTTTTGTTACTTTATCCTGTCTGCCTTTGTGGTGAATTCTAATTTAGCACACTTTCACACTATAAACAAAAACACGCGCAGTGCAAGTCAAAACACGTCGCGTTATTAATGCAAAGCGTCAACTATCGATCCAAGGTCACACGCATCGGCGCCGACTGAGTACGAAAGTTGAGATCCGTATCCGTATCCGTATCCGCGGATCTAGACACTAATTATCCGTATCCGTATCCGTATCCGCGGATATACATTTTTAATGATCCGGCACATCACTAGATGTGATATAACTGATGTATATATTCGTCTGTTTTGTCTATTTTCAATCTCCGTGCCAACTTGCTTTTCGGTAAGTTATGTTTCATTCAATGGTAGCTTTGATGGCAACCGATATTTAAAAATTATTGGCTAAAACACTTTGTTATAAAAGTGCAATCAATACATTTGAATGAACAATGAATTGTGATATAACGACAGGTTAATGTGTGAAAATTCTTTTCTTTGCTTTACTTATCTAGTTGTGTATTCTTTGTTGTGCTTAGCACCTGTGTTTTTTTTTTTTTTGAAAATTATTAAAATAAACTGATGATATTAATGAGTGTAGTATAAAAATAATCATCCCAATATCATTTCTTCTTTTTTTCCACTTATTCCAAAGCTTAGAGGGTGGCTGTCATGATGAGTGCTCTCTCTGTTTCTCATTGAAGTCAGTCTTGAGTGAGTAGCATTACTTTATTAGTGTTAGTAAGGGCATATGGCCTCAAAAATTTCTGATCTCAATTTATATTGCTCTTAACAAAATTTCACATGTATACAATTAATATTTCTTGCTTTCAGTAAACAGTAGTCTTGGTAATCTGACATATGTAGGACTAGAACATGGAAACATAGATACACCAACAACTACTGAAATATATCAGACTATTATATCGTGATTATTTTAATTACTAAATAATTTATAATAATTACAATAGCCCAATATAATCTGATAGTTGTTGGCATACTACATATGTACTGTACATTGGGTTTGTAGTTGTTTAAGTATTATTGGATTAATTAAGGAGCTTGCCAGATTATTGGAAATAAGATGAACTCAATGGTTTATTCATTTGGAAAGAAAATATTTATTTTCATGATATTAGTACATTGTATTAATCAAAAATATATATAGAATATCAAGTAATGTAACAATTGAACACAAACAAATTTGACAGCATGGAATAACTGTTAATGATGCAACAAGTTGAACTACTTATCAAAACATCCAAGCATGTTGCCATTGCCTATAATATGATATAGTATAGTATTTTTGGTGGGAAATTTCAGGGGACTGATATTTATATGTTTATACAGTATTGTGTTATAAATATAGCTAGGAGATGTAGGCATTAAAAAAAATCACATAAGTTATAATTTTTATAACTATTTATATGACTTTTAGTGTCTAGTTTGAGCATTCAAGCTTAGGCTTGATATTGTGCCATGTTTAGTGGTAAGATGTTCAAATTTAATGGAAATTGGAGTTTGAACTGGTGGGAAGCTTGTCTATTACTCGGCAACAGTGCCAGTAATACCCGAGAATCGACCAGTGTCAGATTACCAGAAAAGTCAAACTAGCAAGTGGCTGGATTACCGAGATTGTACCTTAATTCAATTTTTTTCTAATATTTCATGTATAATTGAATTTGAACAATATTTGCAAATCAGTTTGCAGTTCAATTTATATTTTTATCTTTTCATTAAAATATTTTTAAACTCTATAAGAATAATGGATAGTATGTACCAAAACTTATTTCATATGTTTAAAAAGGAATGTTGTGTTTATATTTTTAATTTGGATTTTACTATTTATAACAAATTCTTTGAAATAGTTAGTAGGGTACAATGTATCATTAGTCGTCATTTATTTAGTATGAGTAATATGTAATATCTTTTTTAAATACAATTTTCTTAATTTTTTTTACAGGATGGTAAATTAGAATATCAAAATCAAGCAAAATTACTGTTTAAGAAATTAAACCAAAATTCTCCACCTCGTTGCAGCATAGAAACTGGTCCCTATTTTTTTCAGTAAGGAAATAATATTTGTATCAATCTAAATTAACCTTTAATTTTTCTTGGAAAACATTAAAAATATCCGTGTTTTTAATTTGCAGTTATATTATTGAAAATAATGTGTGTTATTTGGTATTGTGTGCTCAGTCCTATCCGAAACGGCTTGCGTTTTCGTACCTGGAAGACCTACACAATGAATTTCAGAGTCAATATGGTGAAAAGGTAGCCACGGTCAATCGACCCTACTTCTTTATCGAATTCGGTAAGTAAAAAATTACTATTTTATTCTAATTTTGCTTTGTGATTTTTGTGTACAATATCACTAATCTGTTGTCTTTAATTGGATTTTTTAAATTTTGTTAATATGTTTAAAAATAAATAAGTTATTTATTGATTATTATTCTGTACATATTAACAAAAATATTATATCGAATTACATATTGTATATTTCTATACATGTTAATAAATGGTTTATTTGGATTCTTATTGGACTATAATAGGATCAATTAATTATTAAAGTACTAAGTATCAATAATACCATATAGATGCATAACCAATAACATCTGTACAGTACACTCTTGTACCGGCAGGCGTACCGTGCAGATGTTATCGTGCCGTACCATTCCAACAGTCACTAGGTTTGATTACTCCTCTGGCCAATCCTTTCTTCCAGAATATTCTAAATTAAATTTATTTATTTCTAATGATTAAATTTAACATAAGATGACAGCATATCTGCCCATCCACATTACCTTGTTTTATTATAATTAATCAGCCATATTATACCAAATAAGAATCTAGATGTATCATTTTGTTAGCAGGACCTGTGCAAGAGTATTTGATACCCCTAGGCAAAGAAAATTTAGGTACCCCTATACATTTTATATATATAGTGTGTGTATGTGATTATTATGAACATTTAAAAAATGTTTCATTAATATTGATACATTTGTATACATATATGATTACCTCTAATATCTGTATAGGAAGAAAATTAGTTTTAGATTATCTTAGATACAAAAATTTTGAAAAATTCTCTTTTGAACTTAATGCAGATATTTGCAATGTCACAAAAATTCTCAGAGCAATAAACACATTTGAAACATTATTTTTGCATATGTGTGAGAGGACATCTAATGAAGGACTTTGCCTTACTATTATTTGTGACAATATGCAGATTAAATTAAAATACTAAATGTAAGTATTGAAAAATGTTACACATACTTCAGAACTATAGTCTGCCAATCATACGAGTCTAACATTACACTCTAGCAAACTGGAAGCGTCGCCATTATTTCTTTTGCACTTCCAAGATTTAGTCAATGATTTAAAGGACTCCCAGCACATTAAAGTACAGAGTTAAAAGTATATTGTAATTTACAACATAAATTTTGGGAATAGTTATATATTTATTAAATATTTTCCTAAATACTATTATGCCTATAGTTATTCAAGATAAAAATTATTTCTATTCCACATGATAAAAAAATCCAGTACAGTAGAGCATCGTTTATCTGAATCAATTGGGGACTGAGGTTGTTCGGATAACTTATTTTTCGGATAACCGATTACGTACGAAAAAATATATTAACCTATCCCATGTTGAAATTTTTCTCCATTGCGTGTCGCTTCATGTTGAATTTTCATCGATGTTAAGCCTAACGTAAACTTTTTAAAATAATAATCGTGGCTATTGTATTGTTAAAAATTATTTCTTTATTTTTTACAAACAAAATTAATATATTGAAAAATATAAAAACAAAAAAAATTTATACTTTATAAGTTAATCTAGTATCAAAAACGTACGATTCAGCATGACACACAGTCCTCAGAAAAACACCACACAAAAGTGCCAGTGCTGCCAGCTAAAAAACACACATCAACAAAAAAAAATATTGGAGTAGCCCAAGATATAGCCAAAGATTGCAGCGCCACAGCACTAGCGAAAATTTAAATTTGCCGACTGGAATGCTTTTGGTTAACCGACGTTTCAGATAACCGGCTTTTGGATAAACGATGCTCTACTGTATATCCAATTCTGTTACGGTGTAGTTCTATTTCGTCTTTTTAAGAAAGTAAATTTTAAAAGTAATTCCTCAATTAAAATTTTTGTTCTGTAATTTTTTATCCCAAGTATTTGTCTTGCAATCAGCACAATTAATTTTAAAATGTTCTTTGTTTTATAAATGTGGTTATTTATAAATTATGTAATGTAGATGTGGGTGAGTAGGTTTGCAGATATTTGTTATGGTGCATTACAAAGGTATGGGTGCTTACATAAACATAATGTAATGCTAGGATCTCTACCCTTGGAAATAGAATGATTCAATTTTGTCTCATAATTGCATAGAAAACTATACTGTTTATCACTACTTTCATATAATTAACAAAATAACCTAATGCTTGGCATCCTTACTATGTTTTATTCCATAGTACAATTAAGGATATTGATCCAGGATGTGTGTGTAATTATTTTGTTAATTATATGAAAGTAGTGATAAACAGTATAGTTTTCTGTGCAATTCTGGAGATTCAGGATATTAATCCAGGATGTGTGTAACACATCCTGGATCAATATTCTGGGATTGAGGGGATAACACTTTTGGGGATGAGTATGTGTAACACTTTGTGGAGTGTTACAGGGGATGGGATCATAACTGAAAAGTGTAAAAATAGTATTACATAATTTGTGAAAGATTCCATATTCTGGTTCCTAAAGATCCTTACTTAATCATAACAAATACAAATTCAATTTCATAAAAACAAAAGGGGTTTATTATACTTACATATCATGTATATATTAGTGGCATGATTGTCCCAAACCTTCTAGCTGATTATTCTTTATTGAAGTTTCTTATTATTTAGTTATTTAGTCAATATATGTAAAAAAGAAAAAAAAATTATAACATAAAGAAGTATTGTGAAACCTTGGGATTGCACAGTTTTCAGCAGTAAGGAGTAGAGTCCCTAGTATATATTATATATATATAATTGTGTATGTTTTATTTTCATGCTGGAATAATAGAACATCTTTTTTAAAATACATTTAATAAAAATGAAATTTAAGGTACAGAACATATAACTAAGTTTATTCAATTTGAACTGCTTTTCTTGGAATGAAAATTTGATCAGAATACTGGTGCACCTTCTCTTATTGACTAGTGATCCACTGTGGGTTAAATCTCACATATTAACACAAAAAAAACTGTTCAAACTTCAAAAACTTTTTAAAACATTTATGATGGCAAACAGTTTATCGGACATATTTCATGACAGTCGTCTTGCAAGTTAAATATTTGCATACGTACCTTTAATTCATTTTTGAGTTAGTCCTCCCTTTGGGTTTTTCTGGATTCACCACTCCTGAAGATGGACAGAAAATTCAAACACTTTGGCATTATGAAAAATTTTTGCTCTGAGTATAGAAGTTTGAATTGGATTTATTTTAAGAAGTGTGATAACCAATATTTATTTCTTCAAAACCAATAAACTAAATTTACCATTTATAATTTCTAAATGTATATTTTTGAAAGCTGCATGTAGAATTAGCTTTAATACTACAAAAATTGCTTTGTTGAGTTTTTGGCAAACATTCAGAATACGATCCAATTGATTTTGCAATGACCATTTACACTAGTGCACACATGAGAGAGAAATTCTGTATAGCACTGCAGTCTTGTAGCCAGGGGTAAAACTGAAAAATTCTGACTAGTATTTTTCTCTTTTCTGGCCAGCACTATGCCTATTGGCAACAGACAAAAATGAAAGCATATATTATATATACTGCATTTGGGTGCCACTGACTAAGCCAAGGGAGCCTGGCTATCCACTGTGTACTTTTATAGAATACACAAATTTTCTTTTTTCCTTTCTACACATAAGAAGTTACATAAGAATTACTTTCAACACTGTTGAAACTTTTCTGATGTGTATAAGTAAGTATACACATACTTATAGTGTGTGTATGTATATATATATACATACACACACTATAAGTATAATGATTTAATTAAAAACAACTCCAGTTGTTTAAATAGAGATGATATTATAGTCATTCCTTTTTAAGATTTTACGTCATCTCAAATTTAATAATTTTCTCAGAACTGAAAGAAACATTGGAAAAAGTAGGCATCAGAAGATAAATAAATAGATTATTTTCACATACATCAGATAGTCTGTCTTTACAAATTAGTATGATATAATATGCAAATTTAATGCAAAGATAAGCATGTTTGACTGACTTGATATATTTGTTATCTTGACTTTGAAAAGAGAGATTTGGGCCTAAATATTAGTCTGGACTTTAATTTAAAGATGTTACCGGTCACAATGAATTGATAACAGAAGCAATGGATTTCTATCTGCAATTTTTAATTTAGAACAATAGACCGACTTTATATTTTGCAACATAATCTCGTCCTGCACTTTATGGCAGCAATATGTACAAGATAATGGGAAAAAACATTTGAATAATCTCTATTTATTAATGTAATAAAATTAATTACACTTCAATCTAATAAATTTTTCTGCACAACTAGGATGTTGCTATCTGTAGAGAATTTTAATATTTTGAAATAAGATTACCAATAGATGGCAGCACTAGTATCTATAATGCATCTTTGTTGTATAGTATCACTTCAAAACTTTTGAGTTATATAGTAAAGATCACTACAAATAATATAAATAATAATTTTATTTTGTAGTTTAAATTCATACAAAACATCAATAAATTTCTATTTTTAAAATTAGCCCTAAATCTTGGATCCACGAGATGATTCTTTTTATTTCCATAGATAATTACATTCAGAAAACCAAGAAGTCCTATACGGATGCACGAGCGCGCCGGAACCTGTCCCACCTGAACGTCGAACTGCAGGATGTCCAGAGGATAATGATACAGAATATTGACGATGTTCTGCAGAGAGGAGCAGCACTGTCAGGTCGGTAGTGCTTGAAATCAAACATCACAGCTTTGCCCACACATCAATTAATCCGTCTCTCTCTTAATTTTCAGAACTCGACAACAAAGCGAGCAACCTGTCGATCCTGTCGCAGAAATATAAGAAAGAGAGCCACTATTTGAATTTGAAATCAACGTATGCCAAAGTAGCGGCTGTAGGAGTCATAGTTTTTGTATGTTTCCTATATTTTTGGGTACTCTGAAAGAAGTTTTTTCCCTTTCCTCAACCGGAGCAGCATTTCAAAAGAAAGATTGAGTTGTTATTTCAGTTATAAATATAAATATTTTCCATAAAATTGTATAAAAAGTTTTTTTGTTTGTTCTGAGTAAGTTTATATCTTTTCACTTCCTTAAAAAGAGAAAAAAATGTAAGCCTTTTTATTCACAAATCCATAATCTGAGATACATACTATAAATGAATTATTCATATTAAAAATTCTTTGGAAGGAAAAAAATTAGTTTGTTTAAATTGAAATTATGTAATCCGTAGAAAATTTGTCAGCAAATTTAACCTAACAATTTGGATGTTTTATCAAGAATCCTCCATTATAGAACTTTTTTTAAAACTATACTTAGCTCACCTGCAATGACGCCATGATTCTTAAATTTCCTTTGCCAAACTGCAATCTCTCGGAAACATTCTGATGACATATCAATTGCAGAAATAATTGTATTTTCTAATAAAATAAATTGTTTCAATAACTGTAAATGCAATTAAGTTAACAAAAAAATTATGCATTTAAATAACAGCTTAAAACAGTAATGGCAAACCTTTTTTGAAGGTAGTTGAAATGTTTAGTTTGAGAAATGCTTACAAATTCTACTTAGTTCTCCCCCAATATAGATTAAAAAATTAATGCAATTATAACAAAAACAAATATTTAGTGAGAAATAGAGGCAAAAGAATTAAATACCTAAGTCCTTACTATAATTATATCATTGTCTACATTGGACTTAGTATTGATATAATAATAGGACTTATTTAGAAAAAACAAAATCTTTATTTTTCATAAGGTTTTTTCACCTGTACACACTATTTTTATGTTTTTGACCTTAAGGCCCTCTTCAGCAGGTTTACAGTTACAATATTCTATAACTATAACTTATACAAATTATGTGTAAAATTTATTAAATTCCTTACAGGTTCCTTGTTTTCTATTAACATTATATAAATATGTACATAAATTATCCATAAAAGGATTTTTAACATTTTTTTTTTTCTTTATCTTTTAAAGGAATTTGCCTGTATAAAAATAAATACTTATTTAAAATAAGTATTTATTTTTATATGGGCAAATTCCTTTAAAAGGTTTGTTAAAATTAACTTTACTCACTTATCCACCACTTTGTATTCTATCACTGTATCGGAGAAAGTAATTAAGCCTAAAGGTTTTTTCTTTAAATACCTTTCTAAATGATACTATTCTATGATTGGTGAATCTTTTTTTCCTTTAGGTTTTTATTATTTTGCCTTTTATATAAATATGCTTGAATAACTGTCTTTTAGAACTATTTCTTTCTTTTTGAGAGATTGATTTAAATATTGTAATGTTCTTCTACTGCTGAATTTGCATAACTTCCTTTAATTGCTCTAATACGTTCTTTTATGCATATTTTCAGTTTTCTTTTCGTGTCACCTATGTACATTTTTCTTTGTCCATAACTACAATCAAAAGAATATACCATTCCTTTTTCTTCTATCATTTCAATATTTTTTTTATTTCTAGAATATAAATATTTTTTAAAACCCCAAAAAATGATTTATTACATAATATTTTCTTTACTCTTTCAAATAATTTAGGAATATGATTTAATTTCATTATAATTAATTCTATTTTTCTTTTCTGTTTCTATTTCAAACTATATATTTGCTTTAATTTGATTTGCTTGCTCCAATATTGTCAAATATAATAATACAGTCATCTACATACCTATTATAAAATTGAATTCCTTTTATATTTCTTATTTTTCCATCTATCGGTATCATAAATATTTCTGCCAATTTCAGGCTATATATGTTCCCATCAGTATTCCTTCTATTTGAGTGTAATATTTTTCATCAAACTGAAAATAATTGTTTTTCATTACTATTGTAATAAATTATTATAACAATGCTCCACAATGTATAATTAAGTTATAGAATATTGTTATTGTAAAGCTGCTGAAGAGGGCCTTAAGGTCCGAAACACAAAAACAGTGTACAAGTGAAAAACCAGGTGAAAAATAAAGATTTTGTTTTTCTGAATAAGAAACATCATCAAACAATTGGGCTATAATTTTGCTAATTTAAATAATTAATACAAAGTAATGGGGCTTGAACTCAGTCTCTGCTTACCGTGCAGTGTGCCACCCGGACCCCAAGTGAGCCTTTGCTTGGGGTCCAGGCGAATAAGACTCCCTCTATTTGCAAAAACTGAAACAACACCAATATACTAAGTCCAATGTAGACAATGATATAATTAAAATTGAGGCCAGTAATTATTTGATGGTAATTTTTCTGAGATTCACAATTAGTGGCCTTTGAGCATTTATGTTACACAATTTTGAAATTATAAAATATTCAATAAACATTCAACGTGCATATCCAAAATCATTGCGTAGGTTATGGGTTCACCGTCACCAAGTTAAGGGTGGGACAAGTGGGATTTACCCACTCACAGAACAAAGATTCCAAAAAACAAAAAATTCATAAATTTAATTAAACAAACCTTTAAACCATTATTTATTTATGTATAACATAACAGTGACACTACATAGTTGTAGCAATAAATTATTAAATAACTTATGATGTATTTTTAATATTAGACTGATAATTTCAGCATTATTTACTAATGTTCCAACATATTAAAAGGTAAAAGTCAACTAACATTTATTTATAATAATAATTATAATTTCTTTCTAAGCCTACTGTAATGGTGGTATCAGTTTTATAATGTACAAATATAATAATGCAACTAAATTATGCAATCGAATGCATTTTATCATCTTGAATTAACAAGAGAGAGAAAGAGGCAATTAAATGCGTCCCACTTAAATCTTTGTTTACTGAATTGTTTTTCCTTGACCTAAATTCTGACCTTGCTTCCAGGATTTTAATTTTATTTGTTTCTCTTGAAAAGTGGTTAGATAATTCAAAGAATTGAACAAAATAATAGCATTTTAAGACGCATACAAAAATTAAAGAAATTATAATATCGGATAAGACAATAGTTTTTTCTGTTTCTATGAATAAATATAGTTATTCATAGAGATTAACTAGTGTGTTGTCAACTATTGCTAGGTAAAATTTTACTATAAGTAAATATTTACTGAAATAATAACAGATTCCTCTAAGAAACCTATTTCTTTGAAGTTAGAAATCAACATATTGTCCTGAATACTTTTGGACCAGTCAAGTCTGGAAACTTGTTACTGAGTGCTATTATTTCTTACTCCAATTAAGTAAAATTTGTGAACAATTGGAATTTTTTTCATTTTGAACATAAAATATCTTGTAAACAGCCAAACATATCCAAAAATCAGATTATGTTAGGTTAAAATTAAGTTAACAAGACAGTTTTAACAACTTAGCTAACTAATAATTATTAATCTTATGCAATTAATACCAAATTCTATAACTTCTGTAGCATTTTATATATAGTTAGTTTAATTGGCATATAAGCTAATGTGTGTTAATTAATAGCAAGTGATATATTAATATAATCTCACTGAAGGAATATAAAGCATAAAATAGAATAGTCAGTCGTCGTTTATCTATTGGAAACATTCCTTTCTGTGTGCTTCATATCTAATTATTATTAATACATTTTTTGTCGCTAAAAACAATTCTGTGAAGAGTTTAAAAGGCTGAAAAAAAATATAAAGTTACTTCATCAGTTTAAATAAACAACAATAGAGCATAACAAAATTTCAGAATTCGTATTAAAATGTTTAAAATATTTTAAAATTATTATATGGGGTGCTTCAAAAAATAATACTGCAAATAGGGGTAGCGGGGTGGCACTTTTCAGTGAACTACAGTCTGGTCACGACTTCTTATGCATGCGAGAGAGTTAGGACAACTTAAGTTACTTCCGTTTCCTAAGTACCCTATATGATGAAATTTTCTTCAACACATTTTGCTAATTAATTCTTTCCTAGAGGCATTTTAAGTAATTCCTAATGTTCCTAGGTGACAAACAATGTTAAAAATGTTTTAAGGAGTATGTTCCTTTATTTAATAATAATCAATGTTTCAATATAATAAACTAATAGCCAAAGATAACTAGGAACCAGTATTTTCAGGATATGGCAGCAGAATTATAAACTTGAATACTTCAATGACCAAATTTCTCTACTTGCTCTTACTTGTCTGTTTTCTATTCTGTAGAATTTAAATTACAACAAGACTGACACTTTGTGTTAACAAGTTGTTCAGCTTACTCTAGGCTATGCAAGAGGTCTTGCTTACGCCCATTTGAGATGAGTCCAGTTTGTAATGGATTCGTCTCAAACAGGTCCGCTAAAAGAAAACTCACATTATCCATAAAAATCACAAAATTTGCTCAATAAATTAGGTTTTACAGCAACTCTCCTCTTGCAAATTGAATATCTGGTACATTATATGTAACAAAAATTTTGGAACTAAATATTATAATAGAGTTTGGATAATCGTTGGGCTTCAAACTTCAACAGAAACCATAATTTATAAATATAAATAATAAATTTTAAGCACTTTTTCCATTGTCGTTTTATAGTGCAAGGGCCTCATGGACCATGCTGCAAACATTTCTTCCATAGCACATAAATATTAAAATGCCACATATTGAGGAACAAAATTTATATAATCCCACAAAATCTGATGGACCTAAAGTTAGAAATATTACAGATATTCACAAAATACATTCATTATAAAATATAAAGAGAGTGTTTATGAAAAACATAGTAATCTAGCTTTGAACAGTTAAACATTCATACTCAAATAATTTAAGTCCATTCAGTTAATTACACCACAAAAAAATATTTGCATAACGTGCAAATTTTAGACACAATACAAAAACGTAATTAAAACAGAAATACAATTTGGCATCAAGCCACCACATCACTATGACTATGAATGCAGGATCAACTAATGAGGAAAGATAATGATGTAAACATGTTTTTATCAAAAAAAAAAAAACTCAACTATAAAATATTTTGTTTAATTATTTTTGTAATATGCCAAGTTACCAAGAACTACAACCGCAGAATGACCTAGATTTTTTGATTTCTAGGTCGACCTGTGGCCAAATCAGTCTTATTTTAATCACACATTTCTAGGCGATGACACATTACGTTGAATTGTTTTCTAATTTAAAAACATATTGATTTGCATACAAATCAGTTTTTTATATTTCTAGAAAATGATTATAATGTTTTAAATTAAAACTTTATTTAATAATGGTAGCTCTTGTGAACTAGATGGCAATCAAGGGACTAAAAATTCAGAAACTGGGAAAATTATTATTGAAAATATACAGTATATTAAACCTAAGTTGTGTATATAAATGCCTCAATGAAACACTCTTCCAAGTTTTATTATTATTAATTTTTTATATATATATATACAGTATATTAGTTAAAAGGAATATATGTAAGCCATCCAGTGGCCGAGCGTATAAAACCACTGAACACTGGTAGTCAGTTGTGGGCCCATGTCTCGCCAATGGGGTCATCCACATGGAGTTTTCTGTTTTTTCTTCAGATCTGTAACATCTAAAGAGAGCTGGTTTCCCACAAAAAGTCCTCCCAGGAGGTATTCTCTCAGCAGATCACCTGAAAGTGCACTGCCATACGCAAACAAAATGCATATAATTGCAATAAACAGAGTCAAATTTTCATAATTAGAAGATACATATTTCGGAATTTTTACAATTTGTCCTTTGACATGATGGGAATACGAAAGATTGCAGGCTAGAGTCAATCTTTTGTGGACTTCCCTGCCTAAGGTATATAAAATTGCTATAAAGTATCGCTCTAGTGTCAATACTAGTTTAAAAAAGAACAATAATTATAATAATAAAAGCAGGACAAAAACATTATTAAAATATATTTGTAAGTGAAAGACAAATACAAATTTCAGAATCTTCTGTGGTGTGGAAAAACTAATTATGAAGACTCCAATTTGTATTTGCAAATACAGTAGAGCGTCGTTTATCCGAATCAATTGGGGACTGGGGTGGTTCAGATAACTTATTTTTCGGATAACAAATCATTTACGAAAAAATATATTAATTTATCCCATGTTGAAATTTTTCTCCGTTGCGTGTCGCTTTGCGTTGAATTTTCGTCGATGTTAAGCCTAACGAAGACTATTGTATCGTTAAAAATTATTTTTTTTATTTTGTACAAACAAAATAAATTTATTGAAAATATAAAAACAATAAAAAATTATACTTCAGATGTTAATTTAGTATAAAAAACGTAAAATATTTGAGTAGCCCGAGAAATAGCCGAAGATTGCAGCCACAGCACTAGCGAAAATTTAAATTTGCCGACTGGAATGCTTTCGGATAACGGACGTTTCGGATAAACGACGCTCTACTGTATTGTCATATCAAGCAAACATATTTTGTTTGACTGATACAATAGAACAACACAAACACTTTTGCAAATGCATCACCAATGTTATCGATTGAGAGCAAAAGGATATGTATTTCCTCCCTGTATTCGAATGCAGTTTAGGCATGAAATTGTCTTTCCAATAGCAAATGCAAAAAAGTTAAAATTTTATAGAATCTGGCATCTTACTATATTTTTAAATTCTTATTTTTATTATAATAGTTTAACCTGCAAAGAAATATACAATAATTAGTTTGTGTTCTATCAACAGTACCTTTTAGGTGGCTAGGTAGTGGAGGCAGTAAAGGTGGAAGACCCAAATTGAAACCTGTATTGGAGCATATTTTGCAGATGCTTTGATCTAGATACGTAAGTCTCATCCTTCAGCACAGACACTACTCTGAGTCTAACTAGATCCATCTTGATGATAGGCAAGGCAGTGATGTTTGGCTGTGTACAGAATAACTCTTCATGAAGAAATCAATCAAAGATATAAATAATATCATAACCATTGAAACAAGTTCATTAGTCAAGATTCCTGTATAACAACAAAAATATAAATAAATAAAAATTATAACTTATCAGCATTGTTAAACTTGATCTTATAATTAGAATACATTTTGAAACTTGATATTCACAGGGTGGAGTAAGGAAAAAAAAAGAACATTGATATTTCCTTTCACAATAGACATCTATATAAATGATCTTTACACAGGATGATCAATAGCATATATTATTTTAATATTCTAAATATTAGTGTTGAATACTAGACAATTTGGATAATGCATGCTAGGAGCATTTTGTACCCAAAATGTTCCCAACTTTTCAATCCATATTAATTTATGTTATTCAATTTAACATACAATTTAAATAAAGACAGATTGTTGACTATTAATAAGAACATTAAAACTAATCTTGGTATATAAAAAAATTAATGAAGATTGCTTATACTTAGCATAAATTGAAAAACCTAATTTACTGGCTTAAATAAGGTAAAGTTAAATAGAAATAACAAATATCTAATGTTTAAAAAAAATTTCTTTAAGAATCAATTGAAGGTTATACAGCAGAAGTTTGTTAGCCTAGTACCCGACAATCCAGAATTCTCCAATAATCTAGTGTGCTAGTATTCTGCATATTGGAATTTGAATACGTGATGCACTAAAGACTTCAGATGGATGTGTCTGGAAAATTATTATATGTGCACAAATTGTGGATGTTTATTTTAGCAATAATGCATTCATTAACATTTTTGCAGGTTTTTCAATTAGTCTTAACACAATATAGTCTTCACACTGATTAAAGCATGTGCAGATAAAGAAATCTGAAGAAAGACATTGCCAAGCCTGCAGCTTGGCGGTGATCCTAATATAATATAGGATGCTTCAAAAAACATTAACACTAATATAGAATTTTTTTAATAAAAAGTAAAACATCTGGATACGAGTCCAATTTTTCTTGCATGTCTAATCACCAGGAACAGCTATTTCCATTGCAGAGACAACCTTTCTTTAGAGGCTATGCCTCTGTACAAATATGTAAAACAGTTTAAAATGTCCACAGGTGACAATCCCAACACAATTAAAAATAAAGTAGAACCCCTGTAATCCGTCACCTTTGGGACTGGGGATATGGTCGGAACGCAAAAAAGATCAGATTATCTGAAAAAAGTAAAATAAACAATCTTCCCCTTTGTCTAGTCTTTGTAACACTGCTAATTTTTCATTTAATGAAAGAGTAACGTGTTTACGTTTCACTCCTGACATGTTGAAAACACACACAAAACTGTACATGTACACACAATTTAAAACATATACTGTAACGAATACAGAAAAACGCCATGGACGGTGAGTCACCGACGAGTCGGCACAAGTTTCTCGACTCCGACCATGGTCGGATTAACCGGAGTGACGGACTAGGCGAGGGCGGACTAGAGGGGTTCTACTGTATATTTGTTTGTAGAAAAGGGCTGGCAGAATTGCAATTTAATAAAAAGTAAAACATCTGGATACGAGTCCAATTTTTCTTGCCATGTCTAATCACCAGGAACAACTATTTCCATTGCAGAGACAACCTTTCTTTAGAGGCTATGCCTCTGCACAAATATGTAAAACAGTTTAAAATGTCTACAAACAAATATTATATTTTTAATTGTGTTTGGATTGTCACCTGTGGACATTTTAAACTGTTTTACATATTTGTGCAGAGGCATAGCCTCTAAAGAAAGGTTGTCTCTGCAATGGAAATAGCTGTTCCTGGTGATTAGACATGGCAAGAAAAATTGGACTTGTATCCAGATGTTTTACTTTTTATTACATTGTAATTCTGCCAGCCCTTTTCTACAAACTAATATAGAAGTAACTTCTTACATAAGAATTGTAGTGGCAGATTGTCATCTGCATACAAATGAAGAAAAACATGATACAGTAGAGCCTCGAAAACTTGGCCTAATGTGGACCGAAGGGTGGCCAAGTTTGTGAAAATGCTGGGTTATCGGGAATGGGGTTAAAAAAACTAAGTATGAGTGTTTCCTCAGAAAATACTGTACTGTATTTGTATGTATTGTTTACTTGAGAATACAACTGAGAATAAACTGCCCAAATACCCTTAAACAAAGGAAAAGTACGATCTTTATGAAGGCATAGACCTTTACTACATGAAAATGAAAATTAATGAATACATTGTGTACAGTAATTTACCTGATAAGACAGACCCCAGAAAAATACTTTATGAGGCATAAAGCTGTCTATAATGAAAATTAATTAACTAAGGATTTTTTTGCCCTGCCAGGGTGTGGCCAAGTTATCCGGAGTGCCGAGTTTTCGAGGCTCTACTGTACAAGGAAAAAGTAAAGGACCAACTACTCAAAATATGGCAAGAAAAGTGGCTTCAAAATATTAGTGGAGGACACATGTACTGAATTCTCAGTAACATCAAGACACAACAAGAAATGAAGTGAATGGAAATCAACCATTATAACATGCAGTTCCTCACAGGACACAGTCTTTTCCATCAAAAATTGAACCAATTAGGACTGAGTGAATCTATGGAGTGTGAATGTGAAGAGGAGGGTGCTGCAGAACACGTGATGTTTTTTGTCCAATCTTTGAAGAGACAAGGCAACAAACAGAAATACTACTAGAACTGGCAAGAAACCCAGAAAGAATAGATGAAAAGATGTAAGGAACTTAAAGTTTGTCACTCGTTACGACTCCACGCAAGCAAAACACGTATACAAGACATGCTGCAAAAGGTAAATAAACTAGAAGTGCAGGACTGTAATGATGTCGTCATCAAGAGGGATATAAACTCCATAAAAGCTAGCATCAGAGAGATGAAGCTACAACTAGTGGTGACCAGCGACAGAAAAGGATCAGTACTGGAGGTTTTGTTTGTAAGATGAGCAACTCACCCATTTGTTGTGGATATAGCTGATATTCCACTAACCATGTCTTGAGAACTGCTTGTGTACAAGTGTTTTTTGTGTATTAGTACTACTGGGAGTAAGTGGTTTTCAGTTAAATAAACCTAACTTGTGCTTTTGTTTAGACACTCTGTCATGTCAATCTGAAGCTTTCAGCACCAGACACTACTTTTGTATTCCCAACATGATCACCGGTGTCTCGCATTCAGTTCATGTGCTAACTACTGACTGACCCCTACTTACCTTTGTGTGGCATCCTTCCCATTAGGAACCCTGGGCTACATAAAGAAGGGATGTTACAAAGATACCATAAATACTAGACAAAAGTAATTTCAAGAAAGTGAATAAAGTGACATAAGACATTTTAAAAGCAAGAAAAGAAACAAGAAACAACACTGAAAACAACTACAAAGGAGAGCAAAAGAAAAATTGTAGACAGAGAAATAGCAGAAAGAAAAGATAACAGACCGTTGGTATATCTAGGGCGGGGTACAGTAGGGTGGAGGAGGGTGTTCTCTGGGACGGCTGTCCTCTGCATGTGCAAGAAGTCACAACCCAATTGTGGAGTTCTCAAAAAAGTACAACCCTACTATCCATGCTCACTTCCTTATGAGAGTTAACATTTTTTAAAGCACCTTGTATATCATTTGCCATATTTAAATCTTAAAACATTTTAAAAACTCTGGCAAAATTATGAATTTTTGAGAACAAGCTACAATAATAATTTCTCCTGCAAATTTTTTTCAAAAAATTTTAATATTCAGAAGGAGAAATTTACAAACATTTTTGAGTTCTCAACAAACTGAAAGAAAAGCACCTAATGCTGGAATATTAAAATTTTGTTAATGGAAGTTTAAATAATTAATTATAAATAATGAAGTTTAAATTAAAGAATATTTTGTATACATACTTTAATTCAGAGTTACTATAGTGTAATGTTCTCAAGCATGTTTTACATTGATTTTGTGTAGAACCCAAATATGGCTGCCTTGAAATAATTTTAAAAATTTGTATTTGTTTTAGGAACCATGATATTTCTTTTAATACTGTTTCTGTATGGAATGTGCATGGAAATGAATTTATAAGTTCCTTCAGCTGGATTAAATATCCAGAGAAATTTTATACAGAATAGAACTAAATCATTATTTTGGGTCACTCAAAGAATCATTTTCTTGCAATGCCATGTTTCAAGTTTGTATGGAAATTTTTTGGCATTTCTACAAATATTTGGAGGTTTAACAGAAAGATTCTAGATCTGTTATGCCTCATTTTAAGGCATTATTATATTTTGTAAGATTGTAAGATAAATTTTCCTTTTATGTATTTCTCATATAAGTCTAATAACCAAAGTAGACATAAGCATCATCATCATCATCATAAAACTGTAATGTTCATCATTTTTTAAATCAAGACTTAGGATGAAGACTACACAGAAAAAAGTTTGTAAAGCCTGATTCTATTATTAGACATAAGCCTAAAAACCAGGTTTTGCAGGCTATATTAGCACTAATTTTAATTAATTAATTATTGGAATTTGGACTGAGGATTCCAAATCTTTTAATCCAAATTCAAATAATTAATAAAATTATCATAAATGTAAGCAATAATGGCAATGCATGAGTGAAAATATCTTTTTTGACAGCAGTTATAATACTTGTTAGTAAAACATATTGAAGATAAACAGACCTTTTCTTGTTCAGATAGCATTATAACATTTTAAAATCTTTAAGTGTAAAACATACCATTGATTCCAAAAACTTAATAATAGAGAGAGAATTTTTTTAAGGAAAGAATTTAAGAACTTACTGAGATATCAACTAGTACATTTTATATTAAAAAATTTTACTTTTTCCTAGGAAATCTAAAGTAAATAAGATATATATTTTTTAATTTTAGAAGGATTAGCAAATATAGAAATAAAAAATTATTAAGCTGCAGTTTTGCAACCATCATATAAAACTAAAAATTTTAAATTAATTCTTCATCTTAGTGTCTTAATTTCAGGATCATTCAAATCCTAGGTGGTTTTTGGCCTTGTTCACAATCTGTCTTCATCTGCTTACATTCATTCCTACCCTAATCATCTTAAGTCAGAATTCACATTATCTTTCCATCTAAGTTTGCCCTAGTATCACTTAATGTTATTGATTATCATCCCATTTTCAAAAGAAGTTTTTCTACAAACCAACCAATGCCTTATGTCAGAGGGGCAAACCTATGGCATGCGTGCCCAAAGTGGCATGTTGAAGAAATCATCTGGCATGTAACGAATTATATGATTTCGGTTTATCATTTTTTTCAATCAGGTTCTTTATATTTACTCTAATTACAGCATATTATTTTATTTATTTAAATATAGTTTTTTTAAAACTCTTTTCACCCTGTGGACACTAAGAGGGCTTTTTTATTTAGCAAGCCCACAATGGGACAGCCGGGTGATCGATCTCGGGTCCACAAGAGCGATAAGCTACCACTTTGACCACTCAGCCATTCGGCCAAATTTAAATATAGTTACTCAAAGTCTAAAACTACTGCACGCATAAACATTTTTAAAGAAAAGTATGCTTACTATGTGGCACGCAAACTCAAAAAGGTTTGCCATCCCTGCCTTATGTCATCGGGCTAGCTGTTATCTAGCCCAATAACATATGGCATTGGTTGGCTTGTAGTTTTATAATGTATTGAGTTTTAGTGATGTTGTTTGTTTATATATAAGTTTCTTCATTGTAATGGTTAAATAATTCCTGAATTATTAAGTCTAATCACAACATAACAAATCTGACAACAGTAATTTTGGAAATATTAAAAGTTAATTCTAGTTAATTAAAAGAATCTTTTTTTTGTTTTGTTTTTTCATTTTTAACTTTGTCCTGTGGGCACTAAGATAATAATTTTTCCATATCCATTGTGGGTTTGACTGAGTCCATAATAGGGCATCTGGATGGCAAGGGACAGAGCACAACAGTCAGGACTAACCAATAAAAAAAATTTCTGGATTACACTCAAAAGATTTGATCCCTGGTTCCTCAGAGCAGTATGGTGATGCCTTAACTGCCTTGACCCATTAAGCCATCAGTTAAAAGAATCAGAAAGAGAAATGTAAAAATATTTCTTATGAACATGCAAACTTTACTCTGCAGTTGTGTGATGAAAATATAGCAACAGAGAAATAAGCCAAGTGCCTATGACAAAAAATATGACAAATGTGTACTTTTTGTTGTTTGGTACTGTTTTGTTATTGAACAAATGTATTTTTACATTGTTTTAATGATTCTTTTAATCAAGATGTGACAAAACCAAATCTTTTTTTTTTAAATTCCAATTATATTAAATTTATATGAGTGTTGAACTGAAAGAATTTAATAAATTAATTCTCCAGTTCATGAATTGTTTCACTATGCATGTAAGGAAATTTATTTTCTTATTCTAACTAAAAATATTCAAAAAAATAGAGAGATTAATTATAATAATAAAATATGAAAATATGTATTATTAATAATAAAATTATGAAAATATGTGATAAATTTAAAAACAAGTTTAATTGAACTTGATATCACTGCATTTGTATATTAAATGTACAGCTTTTGTTAAAAATAAAATAAATAGTTTATAGTGAAAAGATAAATACCATTCAAAATTTTGTTAGAAAATTCATTTAATATAAATTATTAACATTGTGATTCAATTCTGTTGGAGTTCAGTTTCGCATGCCTGTTGCGCACCCTTGACTTGATCCCAGTGTGGATTCCAATGTGGTCTTTTAAGTTACAACGCAGACTAAACCTTTTCCCACAATAATGACATAGAAATGGTTTCTCTCCAGTGTGGACCCTCATATGTATCTTTAAATGTGTTCCTTGAGAAAATTTCTTCTGGCACAAATGACATTCATATGGTTTTTCACCCGTGTGTATTCTCACATGTGTTTTAAGGTTACAATTATTCTGGAACCTTTTACCACATATTTCACAAACAAATGGTCTTTCACCCGTATGTATTATGTTATGTTCTTTTAGAGCACCTTTACTCTTGAATCGTTTACCACAAGTTTCACACATATAGGGTCGTTCCTCGGATTTTAAAATGGTCCCATTGTCACTATGAGTCAATAAGTGTTTACGCAAGGAAGGTAGGTGAACAAAAGTCTTGTTACAAATATTACAAATAAATGGTTTCTCTCCACTATGAATCCTATGATGTGCTTCTAGGTGATTAATTTGACGAAATCTCTTGCCACACATGTCGCATGCATGTGGCTTGGCATCCGTATGAATTAACGTGTGCGTCTTTAAATTTGAATAAAATTTAAATTGCTTATTACAAACAGTACATATAAACGATTTTTCTGGAATATGTTCTTTTTTATGTATTAAAAATGCAGATTTACTTACAAAATTTTCACCACATTCTTCACAAGAATAGTTATTCAATTCATCAAAGATATCCATACAATTATGAAAACCATTATCTTCGACACCATTCTCATTGCATAACTGGCACTGTTTCTGTTCATCTGTCTCCGTATTTGAATCTGTCTCATCACTTGAGTTGGAATTATTATCAGGCACAATTAAAACTAGTGCAGGTGCTTTTGTTCTATTGTTATGGACATCTTCATTCTGAAGCACATCAAAACTTTCTTTGGAATCTAGAATGTAAATGAAAAATCAATAACAGTTATTTATAACGTAATAAGAACTAGAAAATAATTTATACTTTTGAGACATTATATGAAAACTGATAAAAAATCTGTAATCAATAAGTTTAAAAATTATCGAAGAACTGTCTTTTTGGTGTTAAAACAATTTCAAAGAGTGAAATGTTATTTACTCTACCAATGACAATAATATATATATATATATATATTATTGCTTTAAAGTATAAACACATATACAAAGCCTTGGTATATGCATTAATTAATTAATTAAAAAATAGTACAAATACCGTCATTTCACATTCAGTTAAAAATAATATATAAGTAAAAATAATCATAAAGTAATCTATTTTTCTACTTTATTTCATATACTTCAACAAAAATCAAGAGAAAAAATTACTTTTCCTAATTGACTGTGAAGATGCAAAATCTTGGTCCTATCTATTGTAGAAGGCCAAGATTCTGTACTATTTTCTTTCATAACTCCAAATTTTCTATCTTAACATTTTAATTTTAAAACAGTGTTAGCTTTATATCTGAATTTCAAAAAGAAATACTTACCTGAAGTTAATATTTAGAATTAAATTAGAATGTTCTAATTTTACTTTAGTATAAAATTAATATTGATATATCTCCATTAATAACAAATATGTCTAGAATACTTAATGTGATTATTATTTTATTCTTCACTTCATACAAACTTTGTATGAGTCTTACTGTGTCTTCAGCTTATGAATTATAAGGTCTTATTTTTGAATTTGAGCAATTCAATGAAATATTTGAAGATGCAAATTGGATAGCACCTTAGATGTTTATTAAATAACTTGCATAGTTGTCTTAAATATTTTTTAATATTAGAAAATACAGTGGAACCTCAGTATATGACCATAATCCATTCCTGGTGTTTGGACTTATACCGAATAGGACATATACCAAACCAACCTTTACCATAAGAAGTAATGTAAAAATGATCAATCCATTCTCATGTAAAAAAAATGGCTGGCTTTAAACACCTCGCTTTCCTGGCTAGTTCCTGCTTGATTTTTCATGAGATCACCATGTATCTTTTTAGCTTTCTCGCAAATAATTGCTTCTGATACACTGTCACCAGAACACTGTTTTTCAGTATTCCTAAGCAAAAGCAATTTCTCAACATGATCTAATGTCTTCAATCTGTTTAAAAATTGATTTAACCCCTTTCGCAACGTTAGCAGATTTAATAATGTCTTTATTTTTCACGATTGTCAATATTGTCATTCTCGGAATATGGTATGCAACAGTTAAATCTCGAACACGCATGCCACCTTCATATTTCTCAACAATCTCTTTTTTCAGTTCCATTGTGATTTTAGTCATTTTTTTATTTTTTTGTTGCCTTTTTGCAATTCATAATTAATAAAAATAATAACATTTTACTTACAAACTAAAATAAAAAGAAATTTAACAAAGTTATAAACTGTGGCACTGCGAACATTTAGTCTGGTCTAATACACCGATAGTGCTACTCATTCATAGATGGCGTGTATAATTGAATTAAGTCGTATACTGAGCAAAATTTGTTTCGTCCAAACAGGACATATTCCGAATTGGACATATTCTAAAGCAGATGAATACTGAGGTACCACTATATAGAAATCAGAAATGGAAATGAAAAGGAGCTTAAATAATATAAATCAAAATCAAAGCTGTACACTATGCCATCTGAGTAAAAAAATCAAAAGAACTGATGTGACCCCAGTGGTGCCCACAGACTATAAAAACTGAGGGGAACGAGCTATAAAAAAGGGCATTGTATATTATGAAAAAGCTTCAAACTCTATGATTCAACATTGGATCAGCACTCCCACAAGATGGCACTGGTTACACTCAGGGCTAAATTATTTTTGAAAACAAGGTTTGGTCAACTTATGATGAACAATAACTATATAAAAATATAGTTATTGTTCATCATAAGTTGACCAAACCTTGTTTTCAAAAATAATTTAGCCCTGAGTGTAACCAGTGCCATCTTGTGGGAGTGCTGATCCAATGTTGAATCATAGAGTTTGAAGCTTTTTCATAATATACAATGCCCTTTTTTATAGCTCGTTCCCCTCAGTTTTTATAGTCTGTGGGCACCACTGGGGTCACATCAGTTCTTTTGATTTTTTTACTCAGATGGCATAGTGTACAGCTTTGATTTTGATTTATATTATTTAAGCTCCTTTTCATTTCCATTTCTGATTTCTATATAGTGGTACCTCAGTATTCATCTGCTTTAGAATATGTCCAATTCGGAATATGTCCTGTTTGGACGAAACAAATTTTGCTCAGTATACGACTTAATTCAATTATACACGCCATCTATGAATGAGTAGCACTATCGGTGTATTAGACCAGACTAAATGTTCGCAGTGCCACAGTTTATAACTTTGTTAAATTTCTTTTTATTTTAGTTTGTAAGTAAAATGTTATTATTTTTATTAATTATGAATTGCAAAAAGGCAACAAAAAAATAAAAAAATGACTAAAATCACAATGGAACTGCAAAAAGAGATTGTTGAGAAATATGAAGGTGGCATGCGGCATGCGTGTTCGAAATTTAACTGTTGCATACCGTATTCCGAGAACGACGATATCAACACTCGTGAAAAATTAAGACATTATTAAATTTGCTAATGTTGCGAAAGAGGTTAAATCAATTTCTAAACATAGATCGAAGACATTAGATTATGTTGAGAAATTGCTTTTGCTTTGGATAACTGAAAAACAGTGTGCTGGCGAGTGTATCAGAAGCAATTATTTGCAAGAAAGCTAAAAAGATACATGCTGATCTCATGAAAAATCAAGCACGAACTAGCCAGAAAAGTGAGGTGTTTAAAGCCAGCCATTTTTTTTCATGAGAACGGATTGATCATTTTTACATTACTTCTTATGGGAAAGGTTGGTTTGGTATACGTCCAAACACCAGGAACGGATTAAGGTCGTATACCGAGGTTCCACTGTACTAATTTACTATACTAATAATGTATTTTTTCATACTTTTCGGTTATCAGACCAACCCCAGTCCCCAATTGAATTGGATAATCGATGTTCTACTATATTGACCAAATTATCTAACATAATCGTGCAATCACATTTTATCATATATAGATCATTCATTAATCTGTCTGCTATTACAGCATCCACAAGAGCAAATGGATACTTTCTATAAGCAAAATTTATTTTTTCATGGAAGCTAGCCATGTTAGTTTTTGAATACTCAAGTCTTTCAGGTCATTGAGCTCAACAGTGAAACATCGCTGATGTCAGTCTCAACAGTCCATTTAGAAACGTTTTCTGACTGTTGAGCCAACCATTGAATATAGAAACATATATTATATTACTTACTACCTTGGTACCCAATATACAGGGGGTGCAAAAGTAGGTATACAGTTGAGAATCTGAGAAATACAAATCTCTGGTGTTCATTATTATTAGTTCGTATTCCTTATTTGTGATTTAATTTGTACATAAAATAAATGTTTTTCTTTGTTTTTTTCCATAACAACTGTGTACCTACTTTTGCACCCCCCCTGTATATTTTATTTTAGTAATATACCACCAGTTGTAACACCTAAAATAAGTTATAATAAATTCAGTATGCTAGTATAATATCCTTTTATTCAAATGAACCCTTCTCTGTATCATTTTCTTCTATACTAGATCTTTCTTTAATAATTTGAATTTCTTGAATATTTATATCATTAGGAAAACTTAGA